GTTTACTTCTCACCTCTTCCAAATTGATTAGAGAATACTATATCTATGTGCTTGCTATTCCACATTAATACCCAAAACCTAATTTCTTTTAACAAACATTTTGATTCTTTGGTCCTTTTAATAATTTTTATCACTTCTAATAACATCGTGGTTTTTATAAATTTCACATATTTCATAATTTGGTCATTTTTGGATAACTGGGTCAAATATCACAACTCGATAATTTGTCATACTTTTGCTGATAATTACAAAATGGTAAATTTTTTTTTTTTCAATTTGATCGCTTATTATATTTTCGTTCTTATTCGAAATTTGGTCATTTTTTTATGATTTATATCTCTCATTTAACAAACTCTTACATAAATTGATGTGATACTAACCTATGATTGTTACATTGATTCACATTAGTTATTTAAGAAATTTGATGACGGATCTTTCTGCATAGATTATCATGGCTATAATTAGGGTCTTGGGTGTAGCAGAGAATAAATTTGAGTTTGGGTTTTTGAGGAATTGCAAAACTTGGTAATGAGATGGTCCAGTAGTATACAAACTTGTATGACAGGCCCATTTAAGCCCACTCGATGTTAGGCTTAATTTCATAACCGTCTAATAAGGTGAGCGAGTGGATGGTGAACACCAGACATTATATCTAATCATAAAAATTTATTCACAACTTAATCTTATAAACTTTTTTTTATAACCTCAACGTGACAGTTTGTCAGATAAAAAAATTCATCATAAACCAATTCCGAACTATCATTATGTCTAATATCAAGTATCAAAATACTGTATAAGATGTAACTGTTTCAATAATTAATTTTGAATTTTATACGCTCTTTCTATATAACTATCGTTTTAAGTCTCTGCATAATTTTTAATAAATCAATTTTATCTCTCCTCAAATAGACTCTTTCCTCTGATATTGCAGGTGGGAAAATTTTGTTTTTCCAGCTCCACACACGTGTGAAATATTGAGAGAGAGAGAGGAGATGTGGGCTATAGAAAAAAGTGGAGAAAGGAGATGAGGGGCAATGCAAGGGTTTGTGATAGGATTTTTTATATTAGGAACATAAACCTCCAAGAACAAGAGACAAATAAATTAATTGATAAAATTCTTTATTAATAATCACAATTTAGAATTAGGCTATTATAGTATTACACTTGACTCTGATGACTCCCAAAAAGACTGTAATTGTCTAATTCAAATATAATAAGATATTATATCTAATTAATAAGATAATCATAATTCTTATTATATCTAATTAATAAGATAATCATAATTCTATCATAATAAGATAATAGCATAATTATCAAAGATAATTATAAAAGACTTAACATAATTATCCTAATTCTAAAATAATCCTAACATTGTCTTCCCCTTCGGTTCAACCTTGTCCTCAAGGTTTCAAGATATTGCACCATAAGAAATCATAGGCCCAAATGAGTTCCAAGGCAATAAAGAGACGACGAAAGTTCCACCGTCGGGGTAAAAAATCAGCACGGTAAAGAAGTCGCTTGTTCCTTTGTCATGAGCCAACACGATGCCAAGTAGTGACATCAGAGAGAGATAGGAACGCATGGGAGGCTTGGTGAAGGCTGGCAATAGTGGTGGAGGATTGTTGTTATTATGACCTAGAGGGACCAAGGGAAGGTCAACGTTAGACTCGTGGCTAACAACAACCGCGACTTAATAGGTAGAATGGTCGATGGGGCCCACTTGAGAAATGACTTTGGGTTCCAGGGAGAAGGTCGTGAGTTGCAGTTTCGTGCCATCAAAGCGGGCACCTCCAATCGGAAAGGCTTAAAAGGTGGCGTAGACCCTGAAGAATGAGAACTCGAGTCAGGCGGAGGAGTGTCATCGCCACTTGCATCACTGTCTTCCATGAGCTCTTTTTTTCTTCGTTTTTGTTCTAACTTAGCGTCAATGACAGTCAGTTTTAGTGTAATAGCTATCAAAAGACCCTCTTGGGAGTCAAGTTTGGCCTCTTGAGCATCCAATCTGGTCCCATGTTGAGAGACAAGTTCTTCCAGAGCCATTAGGTGAGAAGAGTCAGCCATGGAAAGGGAACGAGAACACCAATGATAGGGTTTGGGATACGATCTGTTCATACAAGGAATAGAGACCTCCAAGAACAAGAGATAGAAAAATTAATTGACAAAATTCTTGACTGATAACTACAATATAGAATTAGGCTAGTATATAGTCTTACACTTGACTCTAATGACTCCTAAAAAAACTCTTATTGTCTAACTCAAATCTAATAAGATATTCTATCTAATTATAAAAAAATAATCCTAATAAAACAATAGTATAATTATAAAAGATAAATATAAAATACTTAATATAATTATCATAATTCTAAAATAATTCTAACAAGAAGGATTGAGAAAGGAGATGTAGGCCATGGAAAAGATAGATAAAGAGAGAAAGAGAAGAGATGTGGGCCATAGAAATAAAGGTAGAGAATGAAAACGTGGGTCAGAGAAATGTTTTAAGAAAAAGGACCAAGAAAAAAGACACCGTTAATTATTTTGGAAAAAGTAGAGAGAGAAGGGAGAGGCAAAGAAGAGAATGGAAATGCGGGTCGGATAAACATTTTAAGAAAAAGATTAGCATTATTTATTTTGGAAAAAGTTAATACACTCGAAGATATTTATAAATAAACGGAAAACGTGAATAATGATGAATTTGTTGAAATATCTGTTAAAGCAAGTTTTCTTTCCACTCTCAATCACGATTTAGACCCCCTTCTTACAATTATCTTATCGAAATTGTAAAGTAACTCTGCCACGACACGACAGGACAATCATACTGTCTCTTTGTGTGAGAAAAGTCGTTGATAAAATTAGCTGTCACAAATATTATATTATATTATAATATAATTAAAAAGACCAAACTAAGTCCAATTAAGTGACTAAATTACTAGTATACTGAGCTGTCAATAAACAGGCTGAAAACACAGCGTTGTCACAAGGATAGATAAACATCCGCCACGTTTGCATTTCCGAGATGCGGCGTATTGGGGTTGTTCTTGTCTCTTCTTCCTACTGTGTTAAGATATGCTTGCTTTCCTTTTCTTACTTTTTGCCGTTACTAAATCTCCAATTACATGCCACGTCGTTCTATTATCCTACTATTTAATCGACAACTGTCTTCCATCGTGTGACCATTCTGCAAAACTGTTCAATTCAGATATAAATGTAATTTCAGATAATAACATCAATAAACCAAATCATTTAACAAAACCATAGATTGACCTGTGTTTATCATTTATCAAACATGTAAAATGTCACTAATATCATTTCTAGTATAAGAGTTGGGAAGCATGATTAGAAGTTGAATTTATCCCACATCACTTTAATAGTGGGTTGTTATGATATATATAAGTGATTGGACTCCCTCCTCTATTGAGCTAGCTTTTGGGAGTGAGTTTTATCCAAGTCCACTTTATCATGGTATCAGAACCACGTTTGTTTCTTTTCCCTCTTTGGTTAGGATGATGATGAGTTTGGACCTCGGCCTTGTACGTCGAGCATGAGAGAGGGTATTAGAAGTTGAATTTATCCTACATCGCCCCAATAGTGGGTTGTTATGGTGTATATAAGTGATTGGGTTTTTTTCTCTTTTGAACTAATTTTTGGGAATGAGTTCTATCTAAGCCTATTTTATCAAGCATATGTGTTTACAGAATGAACCCAGATGCTTTTGAGGCCACATTCAACTGAGTAGAATCAAATAAAGCCGATTGAAGTATGCACATAATTGTCGGGGTTTAATTTGTCATTTTTCTATATTGAACTTGGCCCCTATATTGGGTTTGATTCGTAGTGGTAAATTTTAACTCAACTACACTGTAACTAGCTGGACAGATCATATCACCATTTGGATCAGAACTCTTTTATCTTTCGACCTGTAAGAATTGACATTTCAAAGCTCTCACGATAATTTCATTTATTGGAAGGACCATTAAAGATTTGATTTCCTATGCTTGTCTCCTAGTCAACGAAAGTTGAATCCATGAATTAATTTAATGCTTACAAGTATTTTAGATAAAAACATTATATACAAAGAGTAAGTCTATTCTTACAAAAAATTCTATAAAGAAACTTATAAAGTAAATAAAAAAATAAAAGAAAAACGAAAAAAAAAGAAAGAGAGGTAGAAAAATAATGAAGATGAAGGACGAAGGTTAAACTTCGTATACCTCCTCTGTATAGAAAACATTGATGGGAGTAATTCTAATTTATAATAATTATTTCTAATACCTAGAAATTTGAAAAAGACTATAGCATTTCCACGACGGTTACACGTGTGCCGATTTCATTACCATTTTTCAACGCAGTGAAGATTGGATGCAGTGAATAAAACCATTAACTTGTAATCAAATGCAGACTGTTGCCTTTAATAAGTCTATAACCTAATAATAAACAACTTTCTTATACTTCAATTTTCTTTTTCATACACTGTCACTGCATTCAAGCAGGAACGAGATAGTTCTTTTGGTGCTAGTTCTGATGCCTACAATATCATAATGCAAATATTTGGGAGCTTTATTGATATACGTTATAAAACTATAGAATATATTTCCTTTTGGACCAAACATGACCAGTTGACCACCCAGGTTAATCCCAGATAAATGGTACGTCCCTATGCCACGTTTTATACGAAATTATGAACCATTCAAGTGGAACCCGATCACTAATTGCTTACTCCTTTTAAAAAATCTGGACCGTAGGCTTAGCAACGTTTGCCATAGTACCAACAGAAAGGACATATCCACAAGAATATGCGAACCACATTATTCAAGAAGTCAGAGTCTCATATTTACCCACACGGCCACAAGGTGACATGAAAATTAATTTCTGGCATCATCCGTAGCACAGCAAGAATATGCTGTCGACATGATGACACTCAACTAGCATGTTCTGGTTTTTACAATTGGGTCCCTTCCTCAAAGTAAAATAACAACACAAGCACACCTACTTATCCGTTACTAATAAGGATTCTCTTCTGTAATATAAACCTCACCTCTCTGCCTTTAAAAACCATTATCAACTTCACCAACAAAACTACACTCATTTTTCAGAAAAGAGAGAGACAGACATATTAGCTATGTCTTTAGCTTATTGTGTTAAAGAGAACAAGCCTTGTGTGCGTTGGGTTGAGAGGTATTTCAAAGACTGCCTCTGCAATCTCCAGGATGATTTCTCTTTTGGCTTTGGGATCGTTAGTCTAGTCTGTTGGGGAGTTGCAGAGATCCCTCAAATCATCACCAACTTCCACACAAAGTCTAGCCATGGAGTCTCTTTAGCATTTCTCCTCACTTGGGTTGCCGGGTTTGTTCTTTGTTCTTTTATCTGCAACACGCACACGCGCACTGACGCACATAAACAAAGTTCGACGTTTCTACTCATTTTAACAGTTAATTTATCTTATAATGATACAGAGATGTTTTTAATCTGGTGGGTTGTCTTCTCGAACCAGCAACGGTGAGTGTGACACTGAAAATTAACTCAACTCCTATACAGCTTTTGTGGTCCAGTCGTCCGGTAATGAGAGAACAACCTCACACTGGATGGCTCTGACAACATTTCACTAGTAGTTCTTCATTCTTTTCATTAAACTAATAATCTAGATTAAATCTCTTTTTATAAAATTAATATTCTAGATTAACTTTTCTAATATTATATAAATATTTCATAAAGTCTTTTGTCTGATATCTTTCTGTTTTATTTTCTTGATGCAGTTACCAACGCAGTACTACACAGCTCTGGTAATACCGCACTTTCTTGGCTCCTGCTACCTTTATACATATGTTCAATTACTAAACGAACCCTGAACCTCTTTAGTAATTGCAAGTGCCTGTTCTATAGCTTTACACCCAAAAATGGGGTTTACTCTCGGTTTATGTCAACAATTATTGAGTAAATGAAAAAGTTACCTAAATGTGCATCCTACTTTTTATTAATAATAATCCATGATAAACTTAAATATTTTATATTTTATAAATTATTAATTCCTTTGGATAAACTCGAATAAAAAAGAATCTGGAAATCAAGAACTTTTTGACAAAGATCTGGATACTGTATATTAAGGCTTTTCTTTGTCAAAACTAAACCAATTTCCTTGACTTCTTCTCCCAGCTCTACACGATCAGTACTATAGTATTGGTGTTGCAAGGCTTGTACTATGATCACATCTACAAAAGGTGGAAATCCAGACAAATCAAAGCTAAACTGGGAGTACGCTTTCTCAACATCTAAATATCTACTTTACGAATTTGTTTACCTTAGATAAGAGGTATTTACAGGTTTTATTTGTATATTTATATGCAGGATAAAGATGAGAAGGAGCCTTTGAAACCTAAGTCAGCTGACACAGGCATCCCCATTCCCGGGGCTGAAGTAAAAGCATATTCTCGGAGAGAGTATTACTACACGTATGCAATATTAAATTCTCCCCTTAGACACTTAATGTTCAGTGTTTTAACACTCTTCTAAATATCAATATGTAAAACATGTTTCAGATCCGCTAGATCTTTAGCTGGCAGTGGTACTCCCCCCTTTCGAACTTATCTTAGGGCAGCCCAAAGTGGGCCTTCAACCATGCGCTTTAACGACGATTCATCGTCTGACGATGAAGCGGCTCCGGTTTCATCTAAGACTCACTCTGTTAGCCAGCCCAGGCCAATTCCAAGATCCGTCAGTCATATATTCTTTTTCTCTGTTAATTTATTTGGTCATTTTAGTTTAATTCCTTTTACTAGATGTGACATGATGTGTTTTCAGGCTGGTTATGGAACATTTCTTGCTGTATCTCTTAATCTTCCGATGCAGAGTAAGGCATTGACAGAAACAATTGCCGGGTTTAACTCAAGAAGAGTCTTAAATGTAAGATAAGTTTTTACAAAAGACTCTGTTTATGTATATTTTGGCCATGGTTTTTATATTGTTTTTTATTAAGTGTTTGAAACTGTAAATATTAATATCAGGGAAGCAGCACGGAGCACAGTGTCTTTGGACAATGGCTGGGATGGCTGATGGCTGCTATATACATGGGCGGTCGACTTCCTCAAATATGGCTAAATGTAAAAGTCCACTTAAATTTGACAAATTTAATTTCTTTCTTGTCCTCCTATACATTAATTTTGTCACGTTACTAATCAAATCTATTTTTTATTAATTCCAATCATCAGATTAAAAGAGGGAGTGTGGAGGTGATGCTCTTAACTCTATACTCACTGCAGTCTTCAATTCATAACTACTCAAATAAATCTTGAAAGATTGACTGATCAAATAAATCACAACCTTGTTATAGGGCTTAAATCCTCTTATGTTCCTCTTTGCACTGGTGGCCAATGTCACTTACGTTTTAAGGTTGTGCTGTCTATTTCTCTCAACTTTACTTATTATTATTATTATTATATTTAATTAATCTTATTCTTAACCATGGATCCCTAATATGAATGCAGTATTCTTGTGAGAAACACTGAATGGGAAAATATAAAAGCCAATATGCCATGGTTGCTGGATGCCATAGTCTGCGTGGCGCTGGACTTATTTGTATCCTTCTCTGTAGTAAATTTTCTAAAGCAATCAACTATTATTATAGTTTTTAGTTATTGGTTTATTTACAACTAAATCTTACCAACTTTTCCTAATAACCTCGATTTGATAGTTTATAATTAATCAATTCATAATAGGTTTTATCTGTTCAATAATGGATCTCGTTTGTCAAATTGTAAACTCACATTAAGACAATGGATCTCGTTTGTCAAATTGTAAACTGTCACATTAAGACAGTAAGAAAAAATTTGGAAGATTTATAACTTTTTTTAATAACCTCTGTGATAGTTTATAATTCGTCAATTCGTAAGAAATTTTATCTGTTTAATAATGAATTTTATTTGTCAAATTATAAATTGTTATATCAAAATGATAAGAAAAAGTTTGTGAAATTAAGTTATGGATCAATTTTTGTTGTTAATATAAACCTTAACGCATCGTTATAGATCATATTACAGTATATTTATTACAGATATTTCAGAAGGAAATCTTCAAGTTACGGAGAAGATCACTACGGACATAAACATTACGAGGATGCAACAAAAGCAACTGTAGCTTGATTGATTGCTTCTTGCTTTTAGTGTTGTAATATTATCTATCAACAATTTATTAAGTTGAAGATCACTCTGTAAGACAAGTTGCCGTTAATTAATTAAATAAAGTCTTGTCAGTGGGTAAGATTAAGATTATATTTATGCGGTGATTCGCCATTTAGTTCAGTTGATAGAAGTCCACTTGAAACGTAAATTGACGTTTGTGGGGTCGTTTGTTTAAAACTTGAGTGAAAAGATTTTGTTGTGTGGTTAAGATTCTGATGGGATGGAGGGCTTGTCCGCTAGGTACTTTGGAATTACATGGAGACGTTGACATCAACGTTCAATATCTGATTGACTGTGTCACTGTAATCAACTTGTCGCCATTTGTGCGGTTCAGTTGGTTTCCTTTATTATTCCCTGTATTAAATATTATCATCTAGCTCAACACTGTTATGAGAAATTCTATAAAGAATGTTGATAATAAATTCTGAAAGGGAATGTAAAAATTAAGCAAAAACAGAAGAGTAGTTTATGATTGTGAAATAATGGTGAAAGGAAACAAAAAGATAATTGAAGATTCTAAGATCTTCAATATAGATTTTTGTAGAATTTATGTGAGAAATTATGGTGTTTGGTTGGAAGAAAAGTGAGGGAAAATGAGAGAAAATTTTATTTAGTTCCTTTTGCCCTTCAAGTTCTCCTTAATTACATGGATTACTCCTCCCATCATAGGTTAGGCAACTAATATGCCTCGGAGGGTGAAATTACTCTTTTACCCAGTCTATTCTTTGAATTTGGACTTCTCTTTCTTAACTAATTTCCTTCCTTTCTTGGATTTGGGTCTGCACTCCTGTAAAATACACATCTAAAAACACAAGCCCTAATATAGTTAAATTTGGTTCCTATAATATAACGACCCTAAAATCGAATCCGAGTAACAAGTTGGGAAGCAATTAAAATTAAATACAGTGATTTTTTTTTTTTTTCTTTGGATAATCGGGGTGTTCGGCCAGTTTGCGTGCATCTCAACTAATCTTTGAGGTTCATTGAACACTCTACAAGTCCAATGTTTCACATAAGCCACAAATGTAGTAGATACTTCCAAAGTGATTTGAACTTAGTAAGTCAATAAAAAGAACAAACCTTCTTGACTACCAAACCAATCCCTTAAAGGGCGTTTGGTTAAGGGAACGTTGGATTATTGGGAATATTGGATTACTGGAAAGTTAGATTACTTTGAAGATTACTGGGAATCTTTAGGAAAATGTGTTTGGTTAATTGGTGGATATGTTATATTAATATGTTTGGTTAGGAGAAATAAATTAGTGGGTATATTATTTAAATTACTGAATTGTCTTCTAATTAAATATTATTATTATATTATTTTTTAATATTGATTATTATTTGGATTAATATAACCCCCATGCTTTTAAAAACTGAGCAAAAACAACCCCATAATAAAAGTTTTAAAAATCAACAAAACACCCCCACCAACCCAGCCACTGTTGGCCGTCGGCAACCATCGCACGCCGCCAGCAACCTAATGGTGCACGAAAGGCATGAAATGGCCTTCGTGAGCCGTATGGCCATTTCCGGCTAGAGATCTGGTCGGAAATAGCCAAACACGATAGATCTGGCCATGGCCATATTGGTGCACGGTGGCCATTTTCAGCCTTTCGTGCATCGTTCTGACGGCTGCGACGGTTGGCTGCAGCGGTGGTTGTTGGCGGCAGATGGGTGGGGGTGGTGGCTTGGGTGGGTTGCAATTTGTTTTGAATTCAAGGGTAATTTTGTCAAAAAAGTTAATTAATTGGGGTGAAATAGTAAAAGCCATATTCATGTAAATAAATTTAAAAATAAGGGCATTATTGTCCTAAAATTTTATTAATAAGGGATAACATTGTAACAAAAAAAAAAATTACCCTAATAATCTTAGAATACCTAAGAAAATGGAGGTAATCATATTACCACAAATATTACCAACAGTAACTACTATTGGTATTTGAAGGTTACCAGAATCTTATATTATTTGACAATCAAACGTAATAATCAAGTAATATAAGATAACATAACTCCAGTAATCCCATATTATTCCCAACAAACGCCCCGTAAGAGTTTAATAAGGTGATTAGATGAAAGAGAAAACTGCATATTTTATCCTATGACTACGCTGTCTAAAACAAGGAGGGACTGTAGAGTATCACAATTTTTTGGATGTTGGGCTCTAGGAATTCATTTGGAATTCAGACTGGGCTTCCATTCCCTGATTTATATGCGATCTGGCTCTTTCATTCAAAATTCTGGCTCTTTCATTCAAAATTCTAGCCCATCTAACTGCAGGTATAAGACCCTATTTTGATCTAATGGATATAATGGAGGGTGGTTTTATTTCTCCCTAATTTTCAACAAGATGAGTTCCACTTTTATAATAATAAGTTATTATACCATCAATTTCTTCTTCTTCAAAACACTTACAAAACCTACATCCACAAACATATACCTTAATTTCTCATTTTCTAAATTAAACCTTATCATAATTAAATTGATTTTTGCTCTCTTCAATTCTTTTATTCTTGCCATACAACATCAATACAAAAAAATAATTTGTGGATGTAGAAAAGAAAATAATAATTGTAAAAGCATGAGTTCAATAATTTATAGAAAAGAATCATGCTAGTATCGTTTATTAAATAAAATGAACATAATAGTTGTAAAAGCAACTAACACTAACAAAGCTCTATAAAGTGTTTTGATATATAATTGTTAGATTAGGACTTTATTCTAATGGTTGAATGATATGGAGATCGTTTCTTCCAACTAATCAATAACTCATCGGTGGCAGTAGTTGTGGGAATAATCTGGTAAACATTCGTTTCATATGTTAAAAGTTTGGGCAACAGAAACATATTCTATGTTCAGTAATAAAATAAATTTCAATCATATACCCACTCTCACAAATTAAAATGTAGCATTTGAGGTCAATAGAATAATCAAACCTCAAATGAGTTGGCATAAGTGTTTTCTATTTATTGCTACATTCTGTTCTGTATGTTAAATGAAAGTGTGACGTCGAATGTCTAACAGATAAATTCCTAGAGAGGGTCGTGTGTTAGAAGCCCAAATGCAACAGACCAATTTACAACAGTTATAATTTTTCATTCGGGAGGAGTTACGGGACCCATAATATATCAATGGAAATCCACTGTTTCAATGCCATTTAAGTTTTCTGAACGTATTTCCTATATTATTTTAGGATTTTATTTTTTATTTTTTTTTTAAGAATTTGGATTTTCTTTTCTTGTTTATTGTGGAGTCTTGTTAGGTTTGGTTGTCACCACCTTATATAAACATATTATTTGTTTTTTTTTTTTAAGATATTCAATGATTATTCAGATTTTCCTTTAAACTTTACGACTTAAATTTTTGTGATTGAGACTTGTTTATCGATTTTAAAGGTATAGTCAAGTGCTAGTCTTGTTATTATGCTAACTCAGCTACGTCAAAGTGAATATTGGATTTGAATTATATATAAATAATTTAATGTGATTAGCATTTAACATTCCAATTTTTGTACGATGAATTGTTGGTTACTCAGTTGTTGGATTGAACAATAAACATCATCAATAGGTTCAATGTCACATTCCCTTAGTCATTGGGAAACCGATAATAATAATTCAAGTGAAAGCAATATCGTTTGCTTATTTTCCCAGGAAAAAAGGTTGGTTGAAACTGAAAGTGCCCTGGAAAAGAATTTGCCTCCTTAATTTCTACAAGGCCTTAAATTTCCAGGACTAGTTGTCCTCCGGTAGATGGAGCTAGCTTTTCCCATAATTAGATCTAGGTATTATGTTAATGTGTATAAACATTTGATGAGTTGACTGGAAGTTAAGAATCTACAACGTTTAGTACTGGTTTATAAATTAACTAAGTAGTTAATTAATAAATCTATAATCCCGATGAGTTGACTCCACGGGTTAAGAGTAAATTAAGGTTGAAGATCTCCCAGGCGCCATACATCTCGCAGCACCAGAGGAACTAGGTTGTCGGTACAACTTAATTTATTCCATGGCAGCCTTAGTTACTCCTAGATTCAAGTAATACTACTCATGAATTAAATGAGAGAACATGTTACCCATAAGCTATACAAGGAGCAATATTTCTTGGCAATTAACCATAAATTTCAGGCGTAATGGAGTTTCACTCCGGCTTTTTTGCTAGACCAGTGGTTTGTGACCTTTGGGTAAAATGAAGGGTATTTCAACTAATTTCTTAAGACCTTGAAACTATCAGTCGAATAAAAGTTTTAATGGTTATCCTATTAGCAATCGAAGAGGGATTCGAATTCAGAACTTTTTGAATAATACACCTAAGAGTCTTTATTAAACTTTTATTCCGTTCTGGTCTAGGCTTTAAAAACTTAAGCACTGTTTCTTGTTAGCATTACTTTCGTTGGTATCTAATTATACAACCCAATACCGGTAGGGTCTAAACTTTCTAAAAAGGCGAGGTGAGCTATTTCTTCCTTTTTTTCCCAACGAAGTAACACACAGAATCTTATGTCGTGCGGTAACCTTTGAAAATTTTGAAAAATATTTTTGCTTCGTTTTTATATTGCTTTATAAAAGAGAAGATTTTATCTAAAATCAAATTGAATCAAATATAGACAAAAGAAAACGCGTTCATTGTGTAGTATAAAGATACATTCTTTACTTTTCTTTCTTTATGTTAATTGCAGACACGATTTAGATTTGCGGAATTGGAGGGTTGGCATATTTGAGATTGAATTCAAATCTTACCAGAAAACAAAGTACGTAGTCAGAAACTTAAAACTGATTAGACTTTATTTTAGTTTAATTTAATTTTCTTTGAAGAAGTCAATGTACGTGGGTTGTCTTTTCTAGAAATGCTGTGGGAGCTTCTACTCTATATTTTCAAAGGTGCCAAATTATTAACGACTAAACAAGTTATAATACAACTGATTTGTGCTGTGGTTAATTATTGACTAATTGCAAAAGTTGGGCAATTTTGTTAGTGCAGTTTACTGTTCAAAGTGTCTGCCTGACTATTTTTCTTAATAACAAACAAGAAACTACATCTGTGAACTGTGACAGAAGGTGCAATGGGATAAAGAATTTTCAGAAATATTTAAAAAAAAAAAAAAAGAAATTCTGAGCAGTAGAGTTGTTTTGATTGATTGTAATTTATGGTGATGGACAGCAACTGTTGAGGCTCGCATTTATTTTTCTGGTCACTACTTTGATATTGGAAATTCAGGGAAGGAAATCACCACAAGATGCCAAGACTGATAACTCCTGTAGTACACTGTAAACTCTTAAAGGATTGATAGCTGTAGGACCAGTAGTTTTTTCATTCACAAAAACTACACAATTTGGGGAGAAAATTAAGACACTGCTGACCCACAAAGATTCTGTTTATTGCAATTTAAAGAGGGGATTCGGACAGAAGTCGCAGCTGATAATGAACCTTCGAATGATGTAATATTTAGTCCCCACCTCCACTAATCAAATTGGTGATTTTTCTTTATTGATATTATTTTGCTATAAGAAGGTTCATCATTTGGTCAATTCTTCAAAGTTTAATGTTTAGCTTTGATCAGACCAGACAATAGACACCTAAGCAAAAAGAGAAAATGGCATACTTAATAAAAGTAATACTCAATTTGAAGTGTTAACTGTTCTGTTAAGTAATATGGTATCCAATCTCCACAAAGTAGGATCAAAGATTTATGGATGCAATGATTTGCAGGATTTGGAAAGAAATTGAGCTCTTTAGAAGAAATTGATGCCACAATTAAATTGAATTATGAATATGCTATTAGCTGCAACAGCCGTCTGTTTTCTCCAGGATACTTTGATCTGCTTGAGACATGCAAATTTAACGGAAATTTTCTTTCAGAGATGAACCATGAAGAGATCACAGACAAAAAGGAAAAGAGGAAGATTCAATAAACCATTTAAATTCCTGGTTTCTTTGTTTAGTAGCCGTAACTGTAATTCACTGTTCTCGGGTACATATTTGACCAAAAACATAAGCATATTGTAATGTACACAGAGACAAAGATCTTCTAAATTCTACCTTCATAGATCTCTTCTCCTTTGATTTTTTTTTTTTTTGTTTTTTTGATATGTGACTGAATAAAACCTTTATTATCATAATACAGATATAGTACCAAATCCTAAGACTCAAGAGAGAAGGGTGTTCGCAAGAGATCATACGGTGCCCACAAAGCATCCAACGGGCAGGGCCGGTTGGCATCAAGTCTCACCCACGGCTTACCTTTGCCACTCCAATGCAACAAACTCACTGGACCCGGATGCAAATCTCTACACAGACCTCTATAATTGTCTCCTCCTAGCCCATGTTGGTTCCACCTATGATCAACTGGCGCTATATTTCCTGCAAACACTAACAAAAACGGAGGCAAAGAACCCAGCTCATAGATCCGCATTCTCTTTTGTAGCTCCATCCATTCTGTTATTTTTCTTGTATATTCTCCTTCTCGCCATCTCTCCAGATCAATCACCATAACACCCGTGTTAAAGTAACAAGCATTTCGTCCAGCGAATGTGTAAGACAATGTGGGATTTGACCAAAAGCTCGGGGTAAAGTATGACGTGAAGTTAGCATTGCAGTACTCAGGTGCTGCCAATACTGCATGGTTATTCAGCGGGGTACCAGCCAGTTTTGCAATATCATCAACGAGGACTAAATCGGAGTCCAAGTACACCACTTTCTTGACACATGATGGGAGGAGATCGGCTAAGTAGTTGCGGGCATAGTTGAGTGGACAGTCAAGAGCTGAGCGGATTGAGGTGGAGATAAGGCCGGCAGCAGCAGTGCCGTCAAAATGGTAGATTTGGAATTTGAGAAAAGGAAATGAGTGAGAAATTGTGTCATGAAGATGATTTATGTCGGTGGAGGAGGAGATGAAGTGAAAGAGAATGTTTTGAGGGCAGGAGGAGTGTTGAAGAACGGAGAATATTGCAGCCATGGAGCCACGGAGATAGACGGCGTCTAGAGTCATAGCTACATGGACAGCCTGGGGAGAGCACATGACATGATCATCGTTAATGTTATCTAATTCGACGATGGAAGGACAGTTTGGGGAGTTGTAGAACTGTGGTGCTTCTTTGAATTTTTTAGTGGTGGTGGCGGTGACATTGGTGATGGTGAAGGAGAGGAAGAGGAGGAGGAGGAGGAGGAGCAGGAAGTGGCGGCCATGTGGTGGAGGTGGTGCTATGGGCTTGCACATTTTTTTTCTGAAGAATGAAAAAGTTAGCTGGAGAGGTGAGAAGTTTTGGTTATTTACTTAAAGAGAGAAAAAGACTCATCTATATTTGTCTTTACTTGGCTTTGAACCCACGATGATTCAAAGAGAGCCGCTACCAAACCAAGTCAAGGCTTTTAAAACCAAGTTCCCCCTAACTTCGTATTTTTATTATCTTTACTTTCTTCTCCAAACTACTACTATTTTATATGAGTACCTAATATTACTATTTTATATGAGTACTTAATATTATATAATAATATAACCTCTTACCCAATCATATATCCTATATTTGATATCCAAAGTTACTACATTTATTTCATAATCTTCTATAGTTAATGATCTACTGGAATTTAATATAATAACATGGGTATCAGTTTTCCAATCTAAGGTAGATAAATAAATGGGCAACTTTTTTCTGCTTTAAAAAGATTCATGGACCATTGCCAAATCATTTACAATAAATTTAAATAAGTATAGCCGGAAAAAAAGGGCAGCATTAAATTGGAATATAATAACTTTTACTGTCCTTTAATTACTGATGATACAGTTGAAGGATGAAGATGAAGATGTATACCTAAGAAGAAGAGTAAGATGAATGAACAATGATATATCAACTCACTTATTGTGTCTTTAGTTGAGCCATCCACGTCGTCAAATGACCATGAAAGCTCCATTGCAGCATCTAATTAGCTTCTGTATACACAAAGATTTACAAGTTTAAGTGTCAAGTTTCCGATGCATGCAACTAAAATTAAACGTATTTAAACAATTGTAAAATGGAAACAATATGTTGGTGAGTGGATGGATAAAGCTTGCCAACCAAAACTGAATTCCCAAAACACTAATCCATTCCCCGTATTTTAACTGGCAGTTATCAGAGTTTTCAAGTAATTCATATATATATATATATATATAAGAGTTAACGACTTTTTTCCTCTCAAATAATGGCTCAATGATACTTCTCACTCACAGACGTTTAAAATACTATTTTATTATATAAATTTATATTCCGACGACGAAACTATTAGGGTTTTTGAAGAGGGGAGACTGATAAGTCTTTTGGTGGTTGGGATTGACTAGAATTTAACTTGAGAGGGACAGTTACGAAAACCCTAACTGCTTGATTATTGGCGATTGGCAAGGTCAACCAGAGTAGAATTTGAGGGGTTTTGATGAGTGATGATTAGGGAAGAGAATGATGGTGGTTTGAGGTCATAAGATGCCGAAACCGGAAACAAAACATAAATTTGGAGAGTAATGTAGTATTTTAAAAGTTTGTATGTGAAAAAGTGTCATTAAACCATTATTTAGGTGGGAAAATATAGTTTACTCTGTATGTATTTAGGTAAAATCACGTTGCACTATGTTTAAATCAATGCAATTCATCCACTAAATCATTTGTAACCTAAATCTATGCTTTTCTTATAGGATTATGATCGCCTATGATTTTGCAGCACAGATGATTAATTTCCCAGTGAATATTTCTTTAACTAAAACTTTCTAAATTAAAACTTAAAAATAAATACTATTATTATCAATCCCCGATGCTTAAATTTGAGTAAACACAATTAATGCGTAGTGATATCAATGTCCATGTATGTCTCAAGATAGGGCACTGGAGCAATATCGATGAATCTCAGATTCAAGTTTTAAAGGTTCAGCCACGTACAGCTTCATCTGCAGATGACTTGATTAGCGGGGAGTCAAGGCAAAAGAGAACGATGCCACGTAAGTGAGGTTTTCAAAGGCATTGAAAAAGACTGAAAATTTTATTGTATTGAAGACGATGGAAAGATAGAGAAATAACCATAGAAAAAAACTTTAAATTTTGGTTGCCGACTGCTTTCATCTCTCTCCTTCTCCTTCCATGTGAACTGACACTTTAATTTCATTATCAAGATTACGACTTTCTGTAAATCCCTGTGATATGAGAATTAAAAACATCTTTTAATTTCAGGCCATAATTAAATTTCTTAATTAATTTTGGTACATCAGTTTGATTTTTTTTTTTTCTGGTGGGTTGTAGTTTTATTTAAGATGTCCATTTAATAGCTTAAATACAAGCTCAACGAGATCATTGAATGGCATGTGCACTTCACATGCTCTTCCTCAACTTCTTGGCTATACAACACCCAATGGTGGACACATACTTCTTCTATTATTAGACTTTAATTAATAAAACCAATTTTATATATATACACAACCATGTGCTACACGTGGCCAAATGACTTTCAATTAATGTATCTCACCTCAGCTAACCATGTTTACTTCCTTTTATTACTTAAAAATATGCCGTCCATGGCCCATGCAACTCTTTTCAATCATGAATCTTCAGCAATCTAATTCTATTTTACACAAACATTTTGACTATGAAAGAGTTAACGACTTTTTCCCACCCAAGTTTTGCCTTTAATGACACTTTTCAGCCCAAAAAATTTCAAAATATCACTTTCTCACCCAATGTTTATATTTCGATAATACCTAAAACATACTTCACTTTCTCAGCTGATGATTGGTGAGTTTTCAAGAGCTAGGGTAAGAGGGTAGAGATCGGTAGATCAAATGGTGATGACCGATTGAATATTCACCACTAGAAATCAACTAAGAACAAGAAACTCTACATTTGCGATAGCCGATAATTGATAAGAAATCAAGTGTCGGAGTGAAATGAGTTTTGTTGAGAAGAGATCGGAGTTGGTGGATAAAATTTTCGTCATTGAAATAGGCCAGAATCGGCTTTGGGTAGTTACAGAATATTAACTTTGGGTGAAAAAGTAGTATTTTGAAATTTTTTAGATGAAAAAAATTCGTTAAGGCAAATCTTGGGTGGGGAAAGTCGTTTACTCTAATGGAAAATATAATATAGATTCTAATCGAGTTACTAATATTATCACCCAATAGTTTGTCACCGACAGCGAGAATTGAGTCAAGGGCGGCGAAAAGTCAGATGAAAGAGGCAACTACGTTGGCTGAAGCTTTGTCTGTTTCCGAGAAAATACGTCAAGAACGCGTTAGAGTTAGTTGTCTGTGTCAGTCAGCTATGCGCGTTTTATTTTGGAGAATATTAAGCCCAGAATGCAGATATAAGCAATAAATACTCCTGCTTCATGAGCAGCCGAATAAGATGATAAAGAAACCGATAAGAAATCTCATAAAATATATATCTCAACGAAATTCCAGGCTGTGATATTTAATTTCTTATAGAAATCTATATTACAGCAAGCTTCTTTTGTCCTCATTGAAATTATGATTGTTTGAATTTTCAAGTTCTGGTCCATCCTCCCAAAGTGAGACAAGATATATTAGGAAATCAATGTTACAAGTTGCCAATCTTTATATAGAATTCAGTGAGTGGCTTTAAAATACTAAGAATTTATAAGATAAACATTAATTCTGAAACTCTGATAGTATTCCTGATCTACAATATGAACATGGAATGGTGCATTGCTGACTGCGACGACGACCACTTAGAAATTAATATTCAAAAACAAGTTCCCAGTTGGAGTTGAATGGACTTGTCCCAACTGGCCAGCTCTTCTGGTCCTTCATCTTTGAATGAAATCATTTCGATCAATAACCGTACAAAGGTACAGCTAGCAAACCAAATTTGAATATCAATGGAATAACGTTGTGCACGTTTTGTTTTGCACAAGAGTGACAAGAATTTCTGCCCACTCGGTAATGTCAGTTAGATCTATGGATGAAGATGAAATATTTACCTTAGATTCTGAAACTTCCTTTTTCAAAAGTTAAAAAATATCGATCGAGTAGATCGCATTTAAGATACGACACAGTTAAGTCATCTGCATGCCTTGGTTAACTATGATATCAACTTAGTTAGTTTAGTACTGTAGATCTCTGTCTATATGTTTAATATAGAAATTAATTGACATTAACAGGTTGATGTTTGAACTCAAAATCTGTAAATTGAGTTTGTAAATTGACATTAAGGGTTTACTTACAATGATGTTCAAGAAAAGACTATGGACATTGAGAATCCAACACAATAAGCTGGCAAAGACAACAAGAGTATCAAGCTTAAACTGCTGTTTCTTAAATCTGTAATAAGAAATTACGCTGCTTTAAAACGTGGTTGTTAAACTATATTTTTGTTGATTAAGTAGTACAAATAAGGATAGAAGAAATGAATTTTAATTCATGCCTAAACAGTGAGCAAGTATTCAAATAAATATCATCATGCATTATTATTATTTTTTTTTTTTTGTAAAGACAATGCCGTCTCAATCTTCATGTTCTTGATAGAAGCAAATTATTGAGTGTTAAAAGTCAGATTTGAGCACATGGGTATGTCATATTTTAAGCTCATCTAGTCAAGCATTACTCCATCAAACTTGGGTTTCGTCATAGACAAAAGTTTATACTTTATACCCATCAATTATCACATCTCTTCTTCTCACAATGATCTCAGTAAACTAAAATCTGCATCTCTTGTTTACTTTTAACGTATTAAGTAATGACTGTATCTTTTAATGGTAAAAGAATCATTCCAGAGAAAAAGATAAAGAAAAAGCGGCGGCTCATAGGAAATGGTGATTGGTAAATGTAGCATTTACCATTTCTGTGTGCGTATGTCTATTTTTTTTATTTTTCTTTTTTAATGGGGTATTACGATGCATGTTCTAAATTACAATTCTAATACACAAAGTTATTTCAGATTAGCGCATTCCATCCTAAGAAAACTTGAGTAGGCGACTCATTTATGAAGGATGAACATGAACAGGGGTAATGTGTAACGGATACATGAAGCAACTGAATACTTCGGTATAATTTGCTTTGAATAGGGTAATGTGTAAAAACCAACCCAACTATCGAGTATTTAATAGGGTAGTGTGTTTTTCAGGCCAGTCTGGTAAGTGCAATTGCTTTTTCAGATTAATTGCACGGCAAGCAAAACATTAACAGATGTCACATGACATCAACTGTTAATTTCATTAATATTATGCCTGGGAACATAGGGCTGACGTGGCGTCTAATTAAAGTGCGAAAGGCCAAACCTCGA